ACGTAGACAACCGTATTGAACACAATATTGAACCAATCATAATTCACTTTGATGATAGCGGTAGCAACAGTGACGAATCTGAGGTTGAAGATTAGACGAAAATTTGTACATTTACATTTATATTATATTCTATTATCAAAAATTTGTAATTTGTATTTTCTAGTACCCCTGACGATGAGTTTAAGTTACTCGAAAGCTTGAGAATAGTTATAAAGAGTTCACTTATCAATTGCTGCAACCCAATAGTGAAAAAAAGTTATATATATATATTGTGTTTTTTATTAATATTGTTAATTTATTTGGTACCTACTATAATTACCACGATTATTACTCCGTTTTCATAAGGCCCACCTAATGACTACAACGATTAGGTAAATTACGATATTGCAAAGTTTTAATGAAATAAATAAAAAATGTGTATGAATATTTTAACTAATTGTACTAAGAATTTTTCTTTCATTCTTAACCCTCTCAAAAATTAATAAGCACGCCCCCGATTTGCTATCAACTGGGCTTACTTCTACTCTCAATCATTATTGGTTTTAGTATAGAGTAACGTTACCCATTTTCCTTTCCTATGTTACGCACCTTGATTAGTGCGCCACCAATGTAATGGAATATTTAGTGTTTCAGCGATTACACAGTTTGTCAATCCGCCTTACAATTATGAGTTCTGTGGAATATATTAGGATATGCCGATATGTCTAATGTTGATAACGACCCACGAATTATTCTAACTGCGGCAACACTGTCTGGGTATTGTTATGATTATGTGTCCATAGTCAGCTGATGAATTCGATAAACAAATAGTGTATTTCCGCTTGACCCAGTTGAAAGTATTTTCATAGGTGTTGAATTCGCTTTGCTTTCAGTTTAACCGCAGAGTTGAAAAGTACAATATGGTGGAAATATAGTAATTAATAAGGTATCTAACCAATGAGCAAGGTCGCTGTCGAGATAACGACTCAACCAGACTTATACTAACCATTACCTGCTTCAGAGTATATTACGAAACAACATCGTTATCAAAATGTATTTTAGTAATTATCAACGCACGTACTATGTGTTCGTGTCAACTTCCACCATAAAAACTAACCTGTCTTTCCGAGCACAGCTGCGATTTCTTCCCACGACCGTTCTCTGATGATTTTACATTTGTAATTTTTGTGTAACGGATCGTACAGAGATCGGTATTCTCTTATAGTGTTTATCAAGAGCATGTATTCCTCTTTGGTGAACCTTCCTGCCATCTTGTTCCGGTGTTAAGGGGTCTTACGAAGAACGGATCGATGAAAAACGCTTCGATTACACGTACGTCGCAACGCAACGTGGCCACCGAGCGGCCGCAACTGTCATTATCTTCTACACGCAAGCAGGTTGAACAGGCGACGCGCATGCACAGGATCTGTCGCCGTGATTACTCCGAGGGTAACTCGTT